CGTCCACAACACGGTCCTACGTGATGACATTAAGCCAGGCTTGACGCGTTTCTTTCGACAAATCGTCTGTTTCAGCTGGAATTCGGAATATTCCGATCCCAACATGCTTTCTACTTGTCCCACAGCCAAATATGGAGCAATTCGCTCCTGGCATCGCAGAGAAAAACGAGAAATTTAGACCTTTTTACGCTGCGTTAATATGGTTTTCTATTGTTAGCACTCCCAAGGATGCACCATCGGATCCACGTGACCGAGAACAATGAGTTACGTTGTCACGTGACCGCACCTTCCAAACCCTCCCCCTATATTAACTATGGACAGGCAAAGAGAATACATACATATTACATTATATATATTTGCTAATACAATTCTGACAAAATATCTTGTGCAAATATATTATTTCTCTACAGTTTTGCAGTTGTGACCCAAGTCGAGATCAATACGAACGATACGAACCTATTCTCAACCGCAATGCAAGTGCAAAATTTAAAAGTTGCCGAAAAGATGAAACATGACAGACAAATTGAAAATAGAAATGCGGCAACATTAAAGTGCCTATATCACTTGTGGGATCTTTACGGATTTGAATAGAGCTTGAAAAATTAGTTTACAAGTTCCACAACCCTTTTTGATATGATTAAATAGTTTCGGAAATATTTACATCTAAACATGACGATTTGCCTAAATTTCCGTCGTGCTCGGCGGCCTGGGACTCAGGAACCGAGTTCTTGTAATTTTACTTCGATCTTCCAATAACGTAAAATATTTTGAGAAAAACTCGCCCAGTTTTAACAGCCATACACAATGCACCGTTCCCGCATTTTTTTTTTGAAAAGCGCAAACTGTATCGCCAGTGAAACTCTTCATGTTTACATTATAAAAGACGGCGTGTTTGCAAATCATTCCTGAGTCCCAGTCCCCCCAACCGACGTATTTTCGAAACTATTTAATTATATCAAAAAGGGTTGTAGAACTTATAAACTATTTTTTTAAGCTCTATTCAAATCCGTAAAGATCCCACAAGTGATATAGGCACTTTAATTGAAAAAGATGTCATTGCCATTGAACAGTCAGCAGAGTGAGCAAACACAAATCAAAGTGGTAACGAATATAGGCCTATGGAGCATATTTTTTCTCTTTGAACAATGACAATGTTGGGGGAGTAATGAAAACTCTGGGTGGTCATGATTTTCATGGACTATAACACAGGAAAAAATCCTAAAATCCCAATGTTGGTAATTACTTGGTATTATAGAAATACCAATTATAAACCAACAAATTCCCAATTTAAGAAATACTCAATTTGGGAAAAGTACTGGTATGCCTTCTTATAAATAGCTTTCCCAAGTTAGAATTGGTATGATCTTGGTAAATATATACAAAATGTTATCTTAAGACCCAACGTTGGTATTTTTCCTGGTAAAAGGTGCTCGTAATGGGGAAAATATTGGTAATTACAGCTTATAATAAGACAAAATGGTAAAGAAAAAATCCCATACTTGGGAAAATGTTGGTGAATGAAATTCTTAGATGGGATATCATGATACTGAAATTCTATTTTTGGGATTAACGTTGGTAATTTGTTTTCCAGTTGAGAAAAGTCATCAGTTTTTGGGACAGACACGCGAGTTTTCATTTATATCTCCAGCTGATCAAGATAACCTGCTTCTCTGCCTCATGGCCTCGTTTCCATGTTAATTTATATTAGCATTTCAAGGACAGATAAAGATTATATTCCATGCATATGTTTTTCTTGACGAATTTGTTTCTTGCTGATCTTAGGCTCAATTACGAAGTAATTTTCAACCGTTCTAAGCACAAAAAACGAGTATTAGACACGAAAACGAGGCCATTAGGTAAAAATTGAATAAACGGTAAGGTCTATTGATTGTTGATGGCTTTCATTTGCTAACTTTTAAAATTCTAAACTTCGGAATCTTTTGGTAAATATTGTCAATTTACTGGGAATATTGTCGTAAAAGCTGCGCAATATTACTACCACTCGTAAATTACGTAATGGGAAATTGCATTTATTTAAAGGAAAAAGTAACATTAACAATAATGTATATATATGCAACAATTATATAGTAATAAAATACCACAATGTTCATAAAAATTCCCATCAAACTGTAACAATCCAAATTCTTGATATTTCTGCTAGTAAAAATGCTGCCCATGTCAGTGCACTGGAAAACATGTTTTCATTTATGCCAGTAAATAATATGTTTAACAGAGGATTTACAAAGTGCCTTGTAATTCCCAAACCCCATTTGCCATCCATCGTCCTTCCAATTCTTTAATTATGCAATCCCAATGTACGCTATGCAACGTAGAGCTCTCCTTAATATATTTTTTGCCCTCGGGCCACCTTGGATGTTCTTTAAGAAAGTGTACACCAACTTTTTTGTCATCCTCTTGGACAGAAACAACAATTCCTAGCCACTGATAATCATCTTGACCTAAAATAAGTACTACGTCATTTTTCTCGGAGTAAAAAGGAACTACGACAAATTGTTTATGTGGCAGAAGAGAAGGCATCTGAAAGTCTATTAAAACATACTGATGAGGATTGGCCTAGTCTAGATACAATATGACCTTTCTCAAAACATAAACGGTATTCACCATTTTGATAGTTGAAGTCAATTGAAGATACACAATTTGAGTTCCGGAATGATATTTTGTTTGACCATCATCGTCTGTATCATTTTCATACTCCTGAACTTCTACAAATAAATGCACACCTTTGTTGCCACCATCATCTTCAGTTATTACTGAATGAATGTTATTGATTCTGCCTGTTGTTTCTTCGCCATTCACAGAGTAAATCACATTTTCTCCTTTCCTGTACAAAACATGCAGGCCATTTGCTCCTGCCCCAGGTTTTAAAATGCTCTTGCATGTCGTAGTGGAGGAAAAATGGATAGTGGCATGTTCCCATTCTTCTTCTCGAGAATGTATGTCTTCAGAAATTTCAAGCCTCAGAGTTTCAGATATTTCATCACATACTTTAATCTGTCCACCAATCAATATGCCATCTTGAAAATTTGCTAAATTGTTTTTAAAAGCATGAGTCAAGGTCGTAACCTTTTTTCAATGAAGAGACTTTTTTTGCAGCAATGGCCATATCAACTTCCGTCTGTGTTAAAGAAGGTGCGTTCTTGCTTTTCCTTAAGATATCTAGATTCTGGAGAACTTCTCGCCGTACTTCGTTGTCACTGTAGGTTTTTTCGATATTACAATGATTTGTCGACTGGTTAACATACCGCTTCACAGCTCTTTCTAGATCAAATACCCAGTAGTTATATGGTGATGAAAAACGATATATATCATCACTGACATGGATTAAGTTGTGTTCAGTGATGACACAAGCAGCTAAACCAAATGTTTCCTCCAGTGGCGTGGTGGCTGGGGGGGCCGCGGCCCCCCCTGTGAAGCTCTTGAGAAGGGCGCCCAAATGCAAGTTGGGCGCAGAAATCATCAATCATTCGTATTTAATTCTTATCAAAATTAATTCTTATGATTAATCTAGATCTTCACAACATAATAGGGCCATTTATAAAGGACAAAATAAGTCACGACTTACATAAGACGCATCTTATAATATTATATAAGCGAAGTTGTCGTATAAATGGTTTGCAACAGCGTCGTGGTGGCTACAACGGCCCCAGTGAAGGTCTCGAAAGGGGGGCGCCCGAATGCAAGTGGAGCGCTGATATCATCAATGACAATCATTTGTATTTAATTCTTACAAAATAATCTAGATCTTCACGTACAACATAGTTAAATTGGGCCATTTATACAGGACGAAATAAGTCGCGTTTTAACATAAGAATTTTGTAGTTGTACCTTTTATACGACAAACTTGTGTTCTTTTTAATGGTCTTTATAAAGCGCGTCCTATAAGTCTCGTAGTCATTTTGTCTCGTTACTCGGGTATAAATGGCGCTAATAAATGTCTATTCGTGTATTGCGAAATATATACATGTCGTATTGCCGTACTTTTACGGTTTTTAATACTGTACCTAAGACTGTGCTACCATTCATATATGCGCAAATGAACTTATCAGTTACTTATTTTACACAATTATCTTAATTTGGGAAAATCCCGCGTGGTATGAATGACAGTACATTGTGCTAGAGTGTCATTTTAATTGACACTGACATGACACTCTAGCCTAATGTACATTCCGTGCGGGATTTTCCCAAAAGATAATAAAATAACTCATGTATAGGTTTGCGACATGTATGAATGGTAGCACAGTCTTAGGTATAACCGTAAGAAAGTACAATATTTTATTGTTACATTTGTGAAGCGCGTCTTGATAAACACTGACATTACTATAAACAGGCAACCTTTGAAAGCTTCTACAACCTGTGTGGCAAGGTATTTTTAAATTTTACAACTATGCTGAAACCGTGAAAGGTAAACAACATTAATTATTTAATATTAAAATAGAAATAAGATTTACACAGCAAATATAAGTTTTGGCAGTTTTGCACTTTTTAGACGTGATACGTACGCGTGTATAAGTATAATAACAACTTGCTGGCTACAGAGTACAGTATTATTGATCATAGACATATAGTATTTTTAGAATCCGTACGTATTATTTAAACGCCCTGTATTTCGAAATGATCAATTCAAATATTTTATTTACTAGTTTTACAATACAAGAAAATAAGGTCCCACGTACACTTTGACTTTAATAAACAAGGTTGTACTTAAAGTCTATTTGCCATTTGGATGTATTTATATAGTTGATGTTCATGCAGCAGTACAATTGTTGGAGAGCAATTAGAAACTTGTGTCTGCATGCGCAAGCGTTGCTGTTCTGATTTGAATTTGTTTTCTTTCGTTACAATTGTGGGAAAACAGTTGAACCTACACAAATATAAATTGCTGTTTACAATAGTAAGCTGATACTTAAATGCGCGTTGTAAGTTCGTAATTATGCTGAATTTATTCCATGTCTATCGACTAGTTCCATGAAGTAGTTACAATGGAATCAACTAGCAAAAGCAAAAAACGAAAGAAATCTGGTTCGGAGATCAGAAAGGCGAGTAAAGCAAGAAAGGAAGAAAACGAAAGACTTGGATCGTTTATGAAAAGTTATTTTACGACATCCACCAAATCATCAGATAACACTAATGTCTATAATACCGACGACCAAGCACCCCTGGATGCTGGCGAAAACAACGAAGCGGAAAAGAATAATGACAAACGATATGAAGACTGTGAAGCAAATGACGAGAAAGTCGAGAATGATGTGGGGTATGAAATTGAGGAAGTTCAAGTTACTGTAACTGGTGCATCCGAAATTCAAGAGAGAGTTGAAAAGGACAACACGAACGTACAAGAATGCGCAATGTCTAGTGTACTAGCTCCAATTGAGTCTGAGTTGGCATCTTATGACTCTTATTCATTCATTGATAATGAAGTTAACAGTGAACTGAATGACAATGGCACATAGCATGATTGTGTTAGTGACTATGAAATCGAACATATTGTTCCTAAAGAAAGATTAAACACAACAATTGAGACGCCGATCGTGGAAGAAGATGCCACGAGGCACAACACAAACTCAGCGAATCCTACTTTCACACTTGATGAAGAGAATGAGACCTTGAGCTACGATCCAGCTTTCCTTGTTGGCATGAAGTTTACTATAAATGACAAAAAAAGGCTTTGTAAAATTAAACCTTGTCAACCGCCAGAATCCGTTTTATCTACCAGAAAGAAGCAATTTGGAGAACGCCATCGGCATTGTTCGCAGGAAGTATTCTTTCACGAGGATCAAGCCAGGCGCAAGTGGCTTTCATACTCATTAAGTAAGGATTGTCTATTCTGCCTTCCATGTCTCCTATTTTCAGATGAATGTCTGAGAGGTGGAAATGTGCGACCCAACCAAGGAAGTGCTTTTACCAATTCTGGATTTTCAAACTGGAAGAAGCAGTACAGTGCGATAACAAAGCACGAAACTTCCGAAAGTCACATAAATGCCAAGATTGCGCAAGTTGTCTTCTTACAAGGACTGTCTATCGATTCTTGTCTGGAGAAACAAGAGAAGAGTGAAATTTTGCGACGAAAGAGGGAAATCGTAACAAATCGAAATGTTATGAAGCGTGTTGTCGACACTGTTTTACTGCTTGGAAAGCAGGGACTCGCTTTTCGGGGACATCGAGAGTCGCTTGATAATCCTGAAATAAATCGAGGAAATTACTTGGAGACCCTGGATTACCTGTCAATCTACGACGATACAATTCACGACCATCTAGAAAGGGTTAGAAATCAACAAGCTTTGTCAAGAAACAAGAGCGGCGGGAAAAGGGGTGCGAAAGGACGGGGTTCCAAATTAACCTTTCTCAGCACGACACTAGAATAACGTGATCAACATAATTGGTAAAGAAATCACTTCGCAAATTGTCAAAGAAATTGATATTTGCAGAGCATGGGCACTGATAGCCGACACCACACCAGACATCACTCAACACAAACAGCTTAGTATTTGCGTAAGGATCGTTAATCGTACAGGGCAATGTTCCGAACACCTGTTAGCGTGCAAAAGAGCTTCAGGTACAAAGACAATGGAACTGTACAATTTAATATCAGAAACACTTGCCTCGAAAGCGGTTTCGTTTGATAAGCTCGTAGCGCAAACGTACGACGGCGCTTCGAATATGAGTGGCTGCTACAACGGTCTGCAAGCGATCATCAAGGAAAAAGTTGGACAACATGTTGTTTTTGTTCACTGTTATGCGCACACCCTTAACCTTGTATTGTCTGATTCGGCAGGTGTGTCTGTTCGCGTAATAAGCCTGTTCAGCAAACTCGAAGCCTTGTACCTACTTTTCAGCAGAAACCAAAGAATCCACGCCATGTTTGAAGATGCCCAAAGAGAAGACAAAGTGAAGGTGCTTACTCTTAAGAGACTAAATACTGTTCGCTGGCACTCACGCGAGTTTTGTCTGAAGGTTTTTATCTCTCGTTACGACTGCATATTTAATGTACTGGACACCGTTTCGTTGGAAACTAATTTTGACCCAAACCAACGAAAAACTGCCTCTGGTTTATTGACGCAGATGCAAATGAAGCAGTTCTTGGCTACCGCATATCTCTTTCGACAAATATTTGTGGCCACTGGACCGCTAAGTCGATATTTACAAAGTGTCGAGATAGATTTTGGAAAAGCTCTTGGTATGGTTGAAAGCGCAATTGGTCAACTGGGGAAACTTCGTGAAGAACCGGAGAAAATCATAAGGTGTATGGAGAAACAACATGATTCCCCGAGCGTGGCCTGGCAACAACCAAGAATCCGACGCCGAAGAAGAATGGATGATGAAAACGCGGAAGACGAACCAGCTGAAACACCAGAGGATGATTGGAAACGCAACACGTTTTACGTTGCTGTTGATGCTGTGTTAAATTCAATGAGGAATCGGTTTGAAAAAAATCAACCTTTGCTTCAGGCATTTTCGTTATTTGCCCCAAGCCGCTTCCCAAAACTTATAGAGACTTTTAAAACTGCGCATGATCTTCAGGCGTGTCTCAATACTTTTTGTGAAACGTACAATCTAGATGTGTTTCGATGTGCTGACGAACTGTTCAATTTCGCTCATTCCTACGAGAAATTCGATTCCTCAGCTATCTTGAAGCCAGATGAAGTACATGATGAAGATGAGGAGATGAGTGATGAAGGTTATGATGACGACGACGACGGCGAAAGCGATATCTCCAGCGACTCAGGTAGCGAACAGAGTGAGAGTGTTAGTGGTCAAAAGAAAGCTGAAAAGCAAACAAAAAAGAATGTCCCTCGGAAAGTACAAAAAAGAATGTCCCTCGGAAAGTGCATTCATTCTATGAAGCTCTTTCTATTCTGTGTCACCCAGACTACAGTTTGGTCGATGCGTATCCTACTCTTTGTCGCGTATATTCCATAGCTGTGGCCATCCCCGTCAGTTCATCAACTGCGGAGCGTTCATTCTCTGCACTCAAGAGAGTGAAGACCCGAATACATTCGTCCATGGTTCAGGAGAGACTCGAATCGTTGCTAACGATGGTAATCGAGCGCAAAATTTTGCTCAAGTGCGATAAGGAACGTCTAATTAATTTGTATGCAGGCCATTCTCCTGAACTGTCAAAAGCTCTACTAGAGTAACTTACTTGAATTGGGTTTTAACATAGTACTGCATGTTCGTGTTCTATGTTTAACATACTGAAAAAGCTTATACAGCAAAATATATAAAGCTTATTACAGCCTATAGTCGTACAATTTGCACTTATTATATTCTGCTAGAAAACCTGATCAATACTTCTTCATCAGCACTGAAGGGTACTGAAATAGATTTCAATTTAATTTTGTTTACTGGATGTTTATAGATCTAGTAAAATGTACATGTTTTGCAATTCATATTGTCAGATTTTGAAGCACATAAAGACATAATATATTGATATGTCGGTAATCTTAATAAACGTTCATGATATAAGTACAGTATGGAAATAGCATATTACCGGGGGGGGCATATTGGGAATAGCATATTGACGGGGTTGAGGGGGGGGTCTGATTTCGGATTAGGCAAGTGGGGCGCCAAATTTACGAGTGGCACACTGGCCCCTCCAGAAATTTTAGAGCCACCACGCCACTGGTTTCCTCCACCATAATGTTGTGACGCCAGGCTTCATCATTAAACAATTCAATGTCTTTTTCTCGCCAGCCATTCAAACGACAGCAGTTGAAAACCATCTGTATCATTTGTACTAGTAGTCCCTAACACTGAAAGTCCTTATCATGCATCTGGTCATTCAGAATAACTTCTGAGGCAGGAAAGCAAAATTTTTGATAGTCTTCTGCTTTCCAGTACCCTAAACGTGAAGTAATTCCAGTTGGATAGCGGGAGGCTCTCATTTCTGCAGTCCATGGAAAGTTTTCTAGCCTTGTTTCAATTAGGTTTTTGTTGAAATTTCCTGTATCAAAGAAGCGTTGTAAATTCTTTTTCACTGGATTCATGGGTAAGTTATGCATCAAGTCAATAGGAGTGTCAAGTAACACATCAAATCCATACAGTTCATACAGAATAGTAAGCATGCTAACACCAGTAAATCCACTATCTCTTGAGATTCTTCTCCATGCAGCTCCATCTTCTTCATCTGCAGCCTTCATATGGGGTAGTGATTCTCCCATATTTTTGCTCGCCGACTTGTGTCTTGCATGATACCTACAATTTCCATAGTAGTAGTGAGGAGATCCAGCCTCTAGAGGTAGACCACAAACATGACAACAACGGCAAGCTTTTTTCCCTGTACGTTTGACCTTAGCTACTTCACATTGTCCTGGATGGTCTCCTGTCCAAAGAAGAATAAGGTGACGAATAACTGCTGGTCCACTTTGAATATCAAAGTCAGGAAAGTCAGCACAGTATTCCACTTCAATTCCACTTATTTCATTCATCAATGGGCTAAGGAAAGGATCCAGAAACTCAGGGGTTTCATCTGGCAGTTTGAAACATGGCACAAATCGCACCACAAAAACTTGATCAGAATGATTTTGTTTGTTCTTACACAAATTTCCTATTTTGACATCAATCACTCCTGTGACCACCAGATGTTCCAAATGGACTAAATCCATCCCAGTGAGCAATGTATAGAACGTTCCTTGGATCTCCATTCTTGTATTCAGGTGAATGATTGAACACATTTCGACAGCATGGACAAACAACATTTACAGAGTTATCTTCAAGGACATCAAAAGAAGCTATTTTAGATGCAGAAATTACAGTAGTTATCTTTGAATGTTTACAATGTGGACAGGTGGTTGGTAGCAAACACTCTAGTTCCTTATCGAAAAACCAGGAGTACTGAGAGAATCGAACACCATCCCATAGTTCCTTCTTGACTGGCCAGCCTTTTGTTTGTCCTCTTTCAAAAGTGTGAAACCAGTGTTCCTTTTCTCTCCAGTGACCAAGCATTGCACTGCACATATCTGGATTTCCATACCATCTTTTAATCTTAGAAGATAGACCCATGTAATAATAATCAATACTTCCAGGTTCTTCACAATGCTTACATTTCTCTGATGGAGACTCCATAATATCCCATTCTCTCGCATGATCTTGACTCATACAAATGTAATAATGCTTTGGTGATTCGTAACCAACCCTTTTCAAAATATCTTCTGTCTCAGACCAGGTAGTAGGCCACATGTCTTTCATTTTTTGTTCAGTCAGGACATAATGTTTTGCCCATTTAAGCCAGCCCTCAAATGATTTAATAGAATCTCCTTGTTGGTGTTTCAATGGTAAGGCATTTAAGATAGCATCAACAATTTTCTGCTCCCATTCCTCTTTATCTGTCTGCATTCCTTGTTCCTGAAATTCTTGAAATGTCTCTTGGGATGAGTTTTGGGGATTTTCTTTGGAATTTTCATCACGACGAATTATCACGACGTTTTGACAACAAATTTTTCAAAAGCAAAAATGTCAGGTTTTCAGGAGTCAACAAAAAAGTCAAGAAAATTAACTGGCTTGAAAGCATAATAAATAATTTTATGAATTTGCTGTCTTAAAAATGTAATAGATAAATTCTCGTTTGACATATATTAGGATGTTCACAAAATTGATTGATAAGGCTCAGTTGATAAGGTATTTTTAAATGTAGTTTTGTTACAAAACTAGGTACAAGAATTTAATTAATTGGTCAAAAACGTTATGCAATGATTTTTTCAGTAAACCGCAATTGACATCTAATGAAAAATCAATATCCAATGAATTTGATGTGTTTACCTCAAAATCAATCATTGCAAACTGAGACACGCAATTTGATTGGCCAATAGGTGTGCTGGATCGATCAGGCAAATCTCTGGAATTTTGTAGAAATTTTTAAATAGTTTAAATAAATTCATTTATACCTGGGCGAATGTCATCATTTTCATCACATTCTGTTTCATCGATACCTGCTGATGCTGTTATTCACATTCTCTCCCTGCAGATTCTGCAGCTTTCCGATGGTGCTGATATGTAGAACGAGAAACAGCTTTGCCATCGCAGTTGTAAACGTGGCAATAACAGTGTGCATGCAAATAGTTTCGTGAATCACAACGGCATGATGATGTCGTTGGCATAATATACAGTGAAAAATGACTAAATATAATTAACTGTTCTCGACCTCTGTTTCAAACTCGAACGTTTTATAGGCCTTTTATACAATTCTGGTATTCTACGACTGAGAATCAAATGGATAATTTTGGATTTTTCTGGATACTAATAGCTAGATAGTAATTATGCAGTGAACAACACTGGTTACTGGTGAACAATGGTGCAATCGCGGGCTCATCGTCATAGCAACAGTATTAATCTTTCCTCCTTTAATGCGCGTTATGTGAGTGCTAGT